ATTCTTCTGCCTCAGCCTCCCAAGTAGCTGGGACTACAGGCGCCCGCCACAACGCCCAGCTATTTTTTGTTGCAGTTTGGCCGGGGCTGGGTTTGAACCCGCCACCCTCGGTATATGGGGCCGGCGCCTTACTCACTGAGCCACAGGCGCCTCCCTCCTTTCTATTTCTTAACCACATTCCAGATGTGTAAAGATGCTAATTAATTGACTTCTAAATCATCAAGGGTCACTACACTAAAGTTCTTGCAATATTGATAGGGCATTAATGTAATAGTTAACTCTTAATAATCTATTTCCATACCTTGTGCTAAGCTCCTTATATATAGGATCTCACTGAATCCTCATAATAAACTCTTCTGAGATAGGTACTGTTCCCAACCCCCCTCCATTTTACGGAGAAGGAAACTAAGGTTCTGAGAAGTGAAATGAATTGTTAAAGGTTAAGCAGCAAGTTAGTGAAGAGGCCAGAGTCCACTTCCCTCCCAAACCTGCATTCTTAATTGTTCCCTTGTCTCCAAGAGAGCCTGTTGGGCTCACTAAGTTTCACTAAGATCTAAGAAACCTCAGACTCTGAGCATTTAGAAGTCATTGGACAAATAATTCTTTTAAGAAGAACTTTTGGCTAGGTTATATTTTAAGAGAGTGAGGCCAGGGGATGGGTTAGTGGGAGAGCTGCTGACAGACAAAGCTGCAGAGGGTTTCTCCTGCCAGCTTGGGAATAACATGGAGAGAAAATAGTTGTATTCCCAGAACCAGGCACTAGAAGGTCGGGGAGATGTGTGGCACCTGAGCTGGAACTGCTTCTCCCATTGTGAGAGTCTCATAGGCTCTTCTGCTGACCCACCACACCCAGCCAGTACTTTCAATAATAATAATAGCTACCATTTAACAAGTACTAGTCTTATTTTATACAAGAGCAAATTGAGGCTTAGAGAAGTTGAATAACTTGCCCAAAGTTACATAACTACTAAGCCTGTAAAGCCTGTGTTCTTTGTACTACCCTGTTGTGCCTTCAAGAAGTATGGTACCATAGTATAGTTTGAAAAACTGCATTTGTAGAATAAGTTGATTTTCATCTATTACTTCATGATTTTTAAGATTTTTTAAAAAAGGGAGCCTAGAAAATGAATTACGATTTCAGTCTAAGCAAGCTCTTAAAACATAAGGCCTATGGTTAAGAATAAATAGAATAGGCTCGGCGCCTATAGCTCAACCGGCTAAGGCGCCAGCCAC